TCTAATTACTCGCTGTCTTTCTACTTTATAACCTTCTATGGATATTGGATAATTAATATACCTTAGTAGACTTCAGAGAGACTTTTTATTCATTTATTGATTACTCTATACTCCCTGTATAGAACTGATCAAGTATCCCACAGCATATACATTGGTTTATTATCTCCTAAAAGTGAGGCCAATAGGGGAGACAGCCACTAGAGGCTGGATTAACCCTGCAGGGTTAAAACCTGGGGGATTTGGCACCCAGACCACTTAATTGAGCTGAAGTGCTCTGGGTGCCTATAGTGGTCCTTTAAAGTCTTGTTTTTCTTACTTTAATCTCTCTACAAATCTGTTCCTTGCTTTGTACCAAGTATATTTATAGGCCTAGAGGAAGCCTTATAAGGCTTGTATATACTTTTATAACAGTTAACATTTGTTAACTTTGTTTTTCTTGATGCCTGATTTTCAAGTTGCTACTATTGTATCAAACTAACTATTGTTTAGTTTGCTCTAAAAGGATCACTATAGTGTCCGGAAAACAAAACGGTTCTCCTGACACTATAGTGCCCTGAGGGTGCCTCCACCCTCAGGGTCTCCCTCCCGTGGCACTGAATGGGTTAAAACCCCTCCAGCCACTTACCTTAATCCAGCGCTGGGCTCTCTCGGCGCTAGCGACCTCTCCTCCCCCGCCGACATCAGCTCCCTATGCCTCCAGCGTCTGAGATGCGCCTCTAGTTGCTGTCCGGAAGACAGCCACTAGAGGCTGGCTTAACCCCAAATGTAAACATAGCAGTTTCTCTGAATGGTTAAAACCTGAGGGACCTGGCACCCAGACCACTTCATTGAGCTGAAGTGGTCTGGATGACTATAGTGTCCCTTTAATGCTGCCTAGCGTGAGATATGTTACTGCACTTTCACATTTGAACTATTTGAGTATGAACTATATCTGTTGGGTTCCCTCTAAACCCCTCCTTTATTTTGAGACAAACACATATCAGAAATACTGTTTTAGAATACTTAATTTATAGTGATTCGATATGGGTGACTAGCACTCTATTATAGAGCGCCCCTGTACTAAGCAGCCACATATGTTAGTATTTTAATGAGCAGAGTGAGTTATAATTTTATTTGAAAACTACCAATATACACCACCATTAAAATGGCAGATAGAGATATAGACAAGCAGACCCCATCACTGATTGCCCAACAACCAACCCCATCAAACACTATCAGGGTTATTCACTAAAGAGAGCATTCAAAGTGAATTTCTAATTTAAGACCAAAGTAGCAAAACTGGAAGGGAAGCTGACTTAGGTAATATTTCCAGATCAGCTATTTTAACTCTGAATTTGAAATTCACTTTTCTTTCTAACTTTGGTGTAGAACCATGTGTATGGCCAAAATGATGTGGATCTGGCAAGCATTAATTTGGTACTGTCCCCCCACACACACACTTTGTGGATATAACAGCCACCACTCTTCTAAGATAAGGCTTTCCACAAGACTTTGAATTGTGTCTTTGGGTATATGTGACCATTCAGGCATTTATGTTGGACAAGAAGGTCTGCTCACATTTGGCATTCCAATTCACTCACATGACATTGAGTGAGGTTTATGTCAGGGCTATGTGCAGGCCACTCAAATTCATCTGTACCAAACTCAAACCATGTCTTTATGGACCTTTCTTTGTCGACTGGGGCACAGTCATGCTGGAACAGGATCGGGTCTTCCTAAAACTGAAAGCCCCCAAATGTCAAAAATGTATTTGTATCCTGTAGCATTAAGATGTCCCTTACTGTAACTTTTTTATGTATGCAGGCTTATGGAATACATCTATGCTTCATTCAGTTAGGTTGTGTTTTCATGGGATCTGCCAAACCCATCTTCCATAGAGTCTTTCAGCCAAATTTACTAATACTAAGTAAAGATTACTTAGTATTAGTAAATTATGCCCCTAAATTATGCCCCTACTCGCTAGCCTGTGGCTGCTCACTGTAAAAAAAAAAAAGGTCCACCTACAACGTGTGAGTGGGGGCTTTTAAACTAAAGGGGGTACCAATTGCCCCCGCCGGCCCCCACCCCTGAGCGGTGGGTGCGGGCCCTAAACAAGAATAAGGGGGGGACCTAATGTCCTCCCCCCTGGCCCCCACCCCTGAGAGGTGGGTGGGGGCCCTAAATACAAATTGGGGGAGACCTAATGTCCTCCCTCCTGGCCCCCATCCCATAGCGGTGGGGGCCCTAAACTAGAATAAGGGGGGGACCTAATGTCCTCCCCCTGGCCCCCACCCCTGAGCTGTGGGTGAGGGCCTTTAATACAAATTGGGGGGGACCTAATGTCCTCCCTCCTGGCCCCTACCCCTCAGCGGTGGGTGGGGGCCCTAAATAAGAATAAGGGGGGACCTAATGTCCCACCCCTGAGAAGTGGGTGGGGGCCCTAAATACAAATTGGGAGGGACATAATGTCCTCCCCCTGGCCCCCATCCCTGAGCGGCGGGTGGGGGCCCTAAATTAAAAAAGGGGGGAGGACCTATTGTCTTTCCCACCGGCCCCCACCCCTGAGCGGTGGGTGGGTGCCCTAAATAAAAATTGGGGGGGACCTAATGTCCTCCCCCCTAGCCCTCACCCCTGAGCAGTGGGTGGGGGCCCTAAACAAGAATAAGGGGGGACCTAATGTCCTTGGGGGCCCTAAATACAAATTGGGGGGACCTAATGTCCTCCCCCCTGGCCCCTACCGCTGAGCGGTGGGTGGGGGCCCTAAATACAAATTGGGGGGACCTAATGTCCTCCCCCCTGGCCCTTACCCCTGAGCGGTGGGTGGGGGCCCTAAATACAAATTAGGGTGGACCTTATGTCCTCCCTCCTGGCCCCCACCCCATAGCGGTGGGGGCCCTAAACTAAAATAAGGGGGGGGCCTAATGTCTTCCCTCCTGGCCCCCCACCCTTGAGCGGTGGGTGGGGGCCTTAAATACAAATTGGGGGGGACCTAATGTTCTCCCTCCTGGCCCCTACCCCTGAGCGGTGGGTGGGGGCCCTAAACAGGAATAAAGGGGGGGACCTAATGTCCTCCCTCCTGGCCCCCACCCCTAAACGGTGGGTGGGGGCCCTAAACTAGAATAAGGGGGGCCCTAATGTCCTCCCCCTGGCCCCTGAGTGGTGGGTGGGGGCCCTAAATACAAAATGGGGAATCCTAATGTCCTTCCCCCAGGCCCCCACCCCTAAACGGTGGGTGGGGGCCCTAAACTAGAATAAGGGGGGCCCTAATGTCCTCCCCCTGGCCCCTGAGTGGAGGGTGGGGGCCCTAAATACAAATTGGGGGGGACCTAATGTCCTCACTCCTGGCTCCCACCCCATAGTGGTGGGGGTCCTAAACTAGAATAAGGGGGGACCTAATGTCTTCTCACCTGGCCCCCCACCCTTGAGCGGTGGGTGGGGGCCTTAAATACAAATTGGGGGGACCTAATGTCCTCACCCCTGGCCCACACCCCTGAGCGGTGGGTGGGGGCCCTAAATACATATTAAACCCCCTGGTGACAAGGGATCCCCAAACCCCTAGTCACCCCCTACCCAAAAAAATAAACTCCTACCTACTCCCCTCACCCTAAAAATAATGAGGGGGTCCTTTAAGTAAATACCTGTAAAAATAAAAATAAACTTACCATTCGATGTTTTCTTTCTTCTAAAATCTTCTTTTTTCAGCCCCGAAAAAGGCTAAATAAAAATCCATAATAACTGACGCAATAAAAAGCAGAAAAAAATAATCCATCTTCACCCGGTGAGGGCTCCGCACAGATTGAGCTCTGCAGGGTGGGGGAAGGCTTATAAAGCCTTGCCCTGCCCTGCAGTTAGGCTCAGAGCACTCTGATTGGTGGGTTTAAGCCATCTAATCAGAGTGCTCTGAAGGGTAAATGAAGAGACTGACAGGTAAGTCTCTACATTTACCTGTCACAGCACTCTGATTGGTTGGTTTGGAATCCACCAATCAGAGAGTTATGAGTCAAATTACACAGAGTGGGAAAATTCCCACACTGTGTAAAATGACACAGAGCACTCTGATTGGTGGATTTCAAACCAACCAATCAGAGTGCTGTGACAGGTAAATGTAGAGACTTACCTGCCATCCAATCAGAGTTCTCTGAGCCTAATAGCAGGGCTTTATAAGCATTCCCCCGCCCTGCAGATCTCAGTCTGCGCGGAGTCCTCCATGGGTGAAGATGTTTTTTTTTTTTTTATTGCGTCGGTTATTATGGATTTTTATTTGCCCTTTTTTGGGGCTGAAAAAAGAAGATTTTAGAAGAAAGAAAACATCAAATGGTAAGTTTATGTTTATTTTTACAGGTACTTAGTTAAAGGTCCCCCCTCATTATTTTAAGGGTGAGGGGGTTGGTAGGGGTTTATTTTTATGGGGAGGGGGTGACTAGGGGTTTGGGGACCCCTAGTCACCTTGGGCGGAGGGGGGTTAAATTTTCATTTAGGGTCCCCCCTCTTATTGTTTTTTAGGGCCCCCACCCACTGCTCAGGGGTGGGGGCCAGCAGGGAGGACATTAGGTCCCCCCCCAATTTGTATTTAGGGCCCCCTCCCACCGCTCAGGGGTGGGGGCCAGGGGGGAGGACAATAGGTCCCCCCCTTATTCTTGTTTAGTGCCCCCACCCAACGCTCAGGGGTGGGGGCCAGGGGGAAGACATTAGGTCCCCCCCAATTTGTATTTAGGGCCCCCACCCACCGCTCAGGGGTGTGGGCCGGTGGGGAGTGCCTCAGCTCTGGAACAACTTTATGTCAGTATTTTACTGACACTAGAACCTATTTGCTTTTTCTTCCCTCTTATTACTAACTATCTGTGACTATCTGAATACTTATTTGGCTAAACACAGCCTAGGTGCACTGGACCTTTTGTATATAAATCCATATAGGTGTAACTGAACACTCTACTCTAAACACGCTGGCATACTGCAGTGTAACAAGTAGAAGTCATTGCACTTAAGAGAACTATTTCTCCATTATAAGATAAAAAAAAATCTTGATGAGTCAAAGATCCAGCGAGAGAGAGCACAGTGGTTGGGAAAGGAAATGTATGTTACATTTTCCTACTGTATATACATTTCCTTTCCCCTCCACTGTGCTCTCTCTCACTGGGTCTTTGACTCATCAAGATCTTTTTTTATCTCATTACTGCATATTTAAGGGTTAAGCCCTCTAATTGTGAGAGCACAGTTTAGGTGACCATTCTCCTTTCTGGAGATTTGATATTTTGGTTTTCCCCTAACCTAAATTGATTTGGGGGTCTCCACTCTATCATTATTTCATTGTCTATTTCTCCATTATATGAGGGAATTTATCCAGACTCTTTAGTATATTGGCAGATGTACAATAGAGGTGTCTAATGTCTACCTAACCACCTTGTGATGGACCGCCTGGCACCCCGACTGGGTACCTCCGTCAGTCGATGCTCCTAGTGCTCACCGAGGACTCCAAGCACTCCACCCGAAGCCATCAACACTGCAGTCCCCACGTCCAGCGTTACAGCTTGGCTGGGAACTCGCTGTCCTCCACCCACCCTGGACCCAAGACCAGGATCGAGCTTCCAGTGGGTGAACCTCTCCTACTCCAGAGAGCGTAGCAGGAACAGCTCCTAAAAGAGCTAGTGATTACAATCCCAGGGGAGTATAGTGATATAGCCATCTCTAGACTCTATGTTGAGGGTAAAACAGGAACTCAATTTTAATGGAGGCACACTGGCCTTTTATGCAAGTTTCCCAACAAGGGTGACACCCAGGTGGACCTTGTTTGGCACAGGGACACAAAGGGAATAAACCAATAGGAACAGTAATTAACTGTGCGACACTCCAATAACACACATACAATCCCTCCCCTCTGCCTGTGAGATAATTAAGGCAGATAATACATTAACTTAATTATCTCCAGGCAGAAAAACACACATTTTTACAAAGTCTAATAAGTACCCCAAAACACAACACATCCCCTCATAGCCCTGATCTGGGTGAACAACATACCAAAAAATCACCCAGATCAGAGCAGGGGTTCAGGAAATACCTTGAAGTCTCTTTTTGACCGACCCCACGCATGGTTTCATGCCCAAAACTGTTTCAGAAAATTAGGCTGTGTGGCCGGTCTATTTCAAACAGTCGAAGTACCGTTAAAATTACCGAACGTAATGGTGAATGAATATAGTCAATGTGTGTCCCTTGTTCATGTGCTTCGACTCACCGAACACCACTTGACTCCCATTCGAATAGTCGAAGCTCCCTGGAAGGTAACTGTTCAGCGATGTTCATGCCATCGCGTGTCCGATTTGAGTTCCCTGAACTCAACGACAAAACACCTCTGAACACGTTTGACCAAATAAGATGACTGCTGCCATGTGTTCGAATGTCGAATGGCGGCCACTTCGACACTTAGACTGTAGTTGAAGTGCCACTTCGAAAGTTTGAATCTGTTCCAGTAGAAGTTTAAAGGGCAGAAACAATATATTTAACCCCCAGTCCACCACAGGGCTATAGTCACAGGGTAGAAGGCTGGCAAACAGGCTTCCTGGTTCTTATATCCTACTAGAGCCATTTTAATAAAGCTCTTTTTAAATCATTTAAACTAGGAAGTTGATTGAGACTATGATCAGAGACTCTTTTCTAGACATAGGAGTTAACCTTATAAGGTTGTGATTGCACTTTCTGGGTGTACTCTATAGCTTTCTAATCTCTAGATACCTACCCTTACTTTGGTTCAATTTTTTACTTGTAAAATCCACAACTGACTACTAAATCTATTTCCAGGTAGGGGATTCAGGGCCACTTTATGTGTACCTGCATATCTTCTTTTCATTTGTAACTTTTGCAACTTCAATGGTTAAGCCCGGAGAGAGATCCTTGGAATCTCTCATTGATGCTTTGATAATCTGGACAACTAAGACGCAACCCATTTGTGTTGGGTCATAGTAGGTTCATATTGATTATCTTCTCTGCATATAATTTCCAATTTGGACCAAAATGTTTTGGGAAAAAATCCTTCTTGACCAAGGCCGCCTAACTCAGTTGGGGCCCCTAACTCAGCTCAGGGTCTGGGCCCCTGGGGCCCACCTCCAATACCGCCCACAGGGTCCACCTCCAAATCCCGCTCACAGGAATACACACACAGACACAAACACACACACTGATACAAAAGGACACAGATACACACACACAGATACATACTTACAGACACACATACTGAAACAGATATACACGCATATAGGCATACATACTGACACACACATAATGAGACATACACACATATACAGACACACAGACATACATAGTGACAGACAGACACATACTAACATACAGACACACATGCATGAGAACATACAGACACATACATACATACACACTGACATACACACAGACACCGACATACATACACACAGACATACATACACACAGACATACATACACACAGACATACATTCATAATGACCTACAGACATACTGACAGACATACAGACACTGACATCCATACACACTTACATTCATAATGGCCTACAGACATACATTCATAATGGCATACAGACATACATACATACATTCAGACTGACATATATGCATATATACAGACATACTGACAGACATACATACATACATACTGCCATACATGCATACAGACATCCATACACACATACACACAGACATACGTTCATAATGACATGCAGACATACATTGATACTGACATACATACATATATACATACATTCATATATACAGACATACATAATGACATACAGACATACATTGATACTGGCATACATACATATATACATACATACATATATACGTACATACATACATACTGACAGACATACATGCATACAGACATACATAATGACATACATTGATACTTGCGTACATACATAATGACATACATGCATACGTATATACATACATAAAAACATACATTTATACATAATAACATACATACATACATGCATACATACACACAGAGCTCATTTTCCAGCCACCCTCCTGTTTCTTACCTTTTCTTTGCAGGAGGGTGGCTGGGGCTGATGGGACTGGGAGTCGGCTGGCTCTCCCTCACTGCCGGGCGCGCGCTCCTCCCGTGCGGAGTGAGCTGGGAGGAAGTGACCACTTCGTCCCAGCAGCACTTGCTGCGGCTGCTTTTTTTTTTTTTTTTTTAGGGGCCCGGCAGCGCTGACCAGGCCCCTAAAGATATAGGGCCCATCGGGCGGCCCCATCAGTGTGCGGGCCCCGGTCGAACTGCACCGGTGGCAGTTCCGCCACTAAACGTGGGGCCCTTGCGGCCGTTATGGTTGTCACCCCCTGATGGCGGCCCTGTTCTTGACTCCAAAATCACAGGCCGATTTCATCTTGGATCAACAAGCTGTTAGCCAGCATACTAACCATTTTACCCTTGAATGTTTTCCAAACATGTACCCAGACACTGTTTTAAAATGTGCATAAAAACTGATAAAACTAAATTTACAGGAAAGGAATTCCACATCTTTATTGTTCTAACTGTAAAGAATGCGTTCATCTGCTGTAGGTGAAATCTTCTTTTTTAAAGTCTAAATGGATAACCTATGATTCTTTGTATAGTCCTATTAACAAACATGCTACCAGAGAGCTGTTTGTGCAGGAATGTTTAATTCACATAATGTTATCATATCCCCTCTGCGCTACCCCGTTTCCTAAATAAAAGTTCTACTTTCCTAGCATTTCTTCCTTTTCCTGTATTTATTTTGTAGTTTGCCTCTGCGTCCCATTTAGTTCCATATCATCCTTCTATTAAACATGTTCCAAAATTGCAGTGTGTATTACCAATGATTTTTAAAGAGGCATGATTATATTTTTATCCCGTGAAATACTACTACTTTTAAAATAACAATATTTTATTGACTTGAGAAACTGCTTCCTGACTTAGCACTCTGTCTACATTCTTTTGGATCAACAGCAGTATTACAGAATGCTTAATTTATTGGATTTGATGGACATGAGTTTTTTTTTCCAATCTGTAGCATTATGTAACTAACTATGTAGATTAACTACTGAACTGAAAAATAAACAAGCATATAAGACACAATGAAACAATACAATTAAATAGTATAAATAGATAAAACTGAAATATTGAACTTACTACTCAATGAGAGGCTTAATCATCCATAGTAGAGTTAGATTGTTTTACCCGAAGGCTAGAGAGTCACAAGTGGAAAATGTTCATGCACAGACAATGCCACTCTATGCCCTTCATGTTCCACATTCATATGGTATCTGTAGATATAAGGCTTTGGCAAAAATGTTATGTCATAGATTCGTACATTTGTGACTGCCCAAAGCCTTGTCCCTGACCCCTTCTAAGTAGAATTGTTTCTTCAATACATATTCTCATACCACATTTGGGCAGGTGTCCACTTGTTTTATGCTCTCATTCTCCCATTGTGGTAGGGTCTCCTCTAGATAAAATTAGATTTAAGCAAAGGATTTCACAATCCAGTTTTGAGGGAAATGAGCAAGAAGAGCAAGCACTTGCTTCATCCCTATTTTTTTATATAGTACATCAATCTTCCTGAGGGATAGAGTCATATTGATCTCTTGCTGAAAATCTACTGGGTATTTTTCCTTGATAACCATGCAGCTCTGTTTGAGCAGATCTTTTATTCTGGTAAATAGCCTCATGAACCCTACTACTTTCACATTTAATCTCCATAAATTAGAAAGCATTGTTTTACCAAAACCTATCCTTATTCCAGTCTTCTTATCAACTTCATATAAAACTACAGAAGATCTCATTATTTTTCTAAAGACAGCTGCTCTGAATACCATTAATTGCATCTAACAAAAAATATTTGCAGCATGCTAATAAACTAATTATTCTATTGCCAAGTAGATTACAACAGTAATGTAAATTGACAGCCAGGACAGTTGTATTTATTTTTCTACTATGCACTCTCTTAATTATGGTAGGAAAGAAAACTTCTGTTAGTTTATCAATATACGTAAATTCTTGACCAAAGTCAATATATTTAAACATACTATACACTGGACTGAACACGGACAGCACATTGGTGAATGACATAGAGCAATAAACAGGACTACCCTGTGATGTTTAGGTTGTCTGGCAAGTATGGAATCCATAGCTAGACCCCTATT